GGGGCCGCGGGCGCCGTCGCAGGGGCACGAGCCCGAAGAGTCCGAGGAGGAGGCCGGGGACGTGGAGTCCGGGTGGCCGGCCCAGCCCCAGCCCTGGGGCAAGATCCAGTGGTCGTGGCCCAGGAGGCTGTGCAGAGGAGGGGACTGGGCCATGGCCGGGGCTGCTGCGGGCTCTGGGAGCCTGGGCCGGCTACCTCCAGGCCTGAGCTTTTATCTGGACCAAAGGTGAGAGGTGGCCCCCTGCCAGGTTACAGAGAGGTGTCAAAACCCACAGAGCCCAGGGAAGGCCTGGGCAGGGGGGCCTTGGGAAAGCGGGCCCATTTGCGGAGGTGTGGATTCTGACTCCTCGGGGGCTCTAATGGAGGCCCCTGCAGCCCGGGAAGTGTGGGAGGGACAATTCGCATCTGGATGGAGCTGCTAAGCTTCTCACCGAGTTCCCACCCACCCGGGCTCGTGGCATGGTGAGTGCCCAGGAGCCCGACGGTGGTGGGCAGTGCCATCATCGTCTGGGGACGGCCAGGCTGTCCCTCATGTGAAGAGTGGACCCATGCAAAGAGTGGCTGCCTCTCTCATGTCCAGCCTCCCCCCGCCCCCGGGGGTGAGGGGGGTAGTTTGTCCAGTAACTGCCACTCACTGTCTACAGGTGTGCTGGATAAGGCTGCAAGACAAGCCCCGAGGGATTTGCCCACAGTGATGTGGGGTGGGGTGGGGTGGAAGTAGGGGGACATACAAGTGCAGCCTTCCTGGTTTGCTCCCAGAACCCACATTTGCTGGTTTGCTGAATAACACGAGCAACGTCATCTCACTACCCACAGATAGTTTCCGTCCCTGAAAAATAGAGCAGCCTGGAGAAAGAGGATAGGAAGCAGTGGGTGATGAAAATGGGGGAAGGTGAGCCCTCCAGGCAGGCCTGAGTCTATTTGCTGTGTGACCTGGGGCAAGTTACTTACCTCCTCTGAGACTCAAGTTTCCTTCAATCTCACAGCAATAATACTACAAAATGCCCACCACCTGGGAAGGCTGCTGGTACTAAGTGGAACCATCTGTGGAACCATTCAGTGTGGGCCTGGCAGGTGAGCTAAATGTTTGCTGCTCTCATTTCATAAGGAAGGTACTTCCATTTCAAGATGCTGTAGGCATTACTCATTTACTTCATACTTATTTAGCAACTGGTAAAGGTCGGACACACCAGCGTAACACACGTTGGTTGTGGTCTCGGCTCTCATGACATTTGAAGTTCATGCTGAGAGACAACAAGTGAACAGACCATTATACATTGAACAGCTCCATCACTAACTGGCTGTGTGCCCTTGGGCAGGGCCCTTAACCTGTCAGAGCTTGAGCTTGTGCTCTGTAAAACAGGAATAATGATTATAGTTATCGACTCGTAGGACTGTTGTTATAGTCTCATAGTATAAACTTGGAGATAGTAAAGCTCTCCTCAGCAGTTTATTACAGCTTAAAGGAGGCATCTGGGGGGCCTGGGTGGCTCAGTCTGTTAAGCGTCTGCCTTCGGCTCAGGTCATGGTCCCAGGGTCCTGGGATCGAGCCCCACATCGGGCTCCCTGCTCGGTGGGAAGCCTGCTTCTCCCTCTCCCACTCCCCCTGCTTGTGTTCCCTCTCTCGCTGTGTCTCTCATTCTTTCTGTCAAATAAATAAATAAAAAATCTTAAAAAAAAAAAAAGGCATCTGTGTCCTTTGTGATCTTCGGAGAAAGGGCTGAACTCCGAGACTAAGGGCCAAATGATTGCCAGGGGCTGTAGAGTTCTGGCCACAGAGCTGGAGAGGTCACCCCTGGGCCTTGAACCATGAGTAGGACTTGGTTAAGGAGAGAGGCGGGTAGGGAGAATTCTGGCCATGGGAACTGCTTAAGGAAAGGCCTGGCAGTGGGACTTGCTGAGGGGCTTCTGGAACAGTGTGAAGGGGTGCTGATGTGGAGAGCTGGAGCACAGCTTGGCTGGGGCCAGGCTAAGAAGCTGGATTGCCAGATGGACCTTGGAGCAGAAGTGTGACATGAAAAAAAAAAAAAAGCAGGCAATCAGTAATGAAAGTTCAACATGGTGATGTTTCTGGTTTCTGGGATAGATGGGCCTCTATCAGCTTGAAGTAATAAATAATGGCCCTTGCAGCATTTGTGGCCACTCCTAAAAACAAACATTTAGTTACACAAGTTACATAACGAATACATTCTCTTTGGCAGCAGTGGGAACATTACGGGTAAACCTGAGGTCTCTCAGCAAAGAGAGCAGCTCTCAGGTTGTTATGTGGCCCTCCACACCAGGCCCGCACGTTCACCTGGACGTATGTAAATGAGGGAACATTGCGGCCTGTGTTTGTAAGTTGTTCTCTTTTTTTGTTTTTAAGGTTTTATTTATTTGAGACAGCATGAAAGCACACGAGTGGGGGGGGGCAAAGGCAGAGGGAGAAGTAGACTCCCCACTGAGCAGGGAGCCTGATGGAAGTGTGGGGGGGAGGGAGAGGGAGAACCCCAAGCAGGCTCCATGTCCAACACCAAGCATGACGAGGGGCTCGATCTCATGACCCTGAGATCATGACCTGAGCCGAAAACAAGAGTCAGACGCTTAACCGACTGCACCACCTGGGTGCCCTGTTGCTTGGTTTCATTCAACAGCAGGTCTTAGAGCACTCCCCATCAGGAGATGTTGAGCTGATCGTAGAGGGTCATAGGTGACTTAAATGGATGAACATTTAAACATTATACGAACATTAGAGCAGATCATTTTAACTGGAAAAAAAATGGCAGGAGGTGCAGACAAACCTTCAATGAGGAGATGACCTCACTTTCTGCTCAGGGCTTATTTTTTATTTTTATTTTATTTATTTTATTTTATTTAGTTTTATTTATTTGACAGAGAGAGAGACAGCACAAGCAAGGGGAGCAGCAGAGGGAGAGAAGCAGGCTCTCCGCTGAGCAGGGAGCCGATGTGGGGCTCGATCCCAGGCCCCGAGATCATGACCTGAGCCGAAGGCAGACACTTAACGACTGAGCACCCAGGCGCCCCTTAGGACTCATTTTTTAAAATATCAGAGAAAATATGCCCAAGTCACCACTGTAGCATGATGATGAAGGAATAATCGGCATTGATCGATGTTGGTCAGGGCAACCCCTGTTTAGTTTATTCTAGCTGCCATGAATGAGGAGAGGAAATTTCTAATTTGTCCACAGCACAGAAAGAAGGTAACTCACTTAGCAGTGGCCTTGAATCCAAATAGGCTTTCTCTGGAAAGAAGCAGGAAGTTATGTGAGTATTTCATGACTTGAAAGGATTTACACCAAGTTAAAAAAAATTTTTTTTTCCTAAGGGTGGTGGGACTTAGAAAACAGTGGATCCTACACTTTTTAGGTTGAACTCATGGCTGTACTGGCTAGGAATTAATTTACATGTAATTGACATTTGTAAACAAAATCCCTCAGGTTTCTTGTGTGTTTCTTGATCTGGATTCTGAAGTTTCAGGTTAATAATGTGCTGTTGATCCTGAATTTTCTTTTCTTTTTTTTTTTAAGATTTTATTTATTTATCAGAGAGTGCGAGAGCGCAAGCAGGGGAATGGCAGGCAGAGGGAGAAGCAGACTCCCCGCTGAGCAAGGAGTCCCCCGATGCCGGACTCGATCCCAGGACTCTGGGATCATGACCTGAGCCAAAGGCAGACGCTTAACCCATTGAGCCACCCAGGCGTCCCGATACTGAGTTTTCTGACCCACCCCTTTTCACTGTTTTAACTGTTCTATGATATTATAGCACGTGTACCCCAGTCAGGCCCTTACTGATGCATTGTTAGTGTGTGTTTAGTTTTTGCCAAATAGCCCTGCCTTGTGCACAGGCAGGTAGACCTGGAGAGGTGGGATGGCCTTGCGATCTCCAGGAAGGGTCCGAAAATCCAGAATTAGAGCCGGCCTGGAGGGGTTTCTTGTGAAAGGATTTGGTGAATAATGGGAGTCCACCGCCAGCACGAGCCCTGCTTACCCTCCTTTCCTCTCTAGGATAGCCTGGCCTGCTGTCTTGGTTTGGGCTAGCCCCAGAGCCCAGGCCTCAGACTGACTGGGATGACAGAGCATAAGTTCGGGGAGGTGAGGCCCTGGCTCTTCACCAGGCCCCTCAGCCAGACTCTGGAAGCATAGGGACACACTGTCTCCCAGCCCCATTTGCGGGGGGAGCCGAAGCGGACCCCCCACTGGGCCTCCACTTAGCACAGGGAGGTAATGTCACTTGATGGTGCGGAGGCTGGGCTATGGAATCAGACTGACCTGGGTTTAGATCCCAGCTCCACCCCTTCGAAGCCGTGAGAACTTGGGCAACTTAACTCCGCATCTGTTTTCTCATCTGTAAAGTGAAGCGTTCTGATTTCCAGGGTGATTGTTGGGGTAAGTAAGGATGATGCGTGTCATAGTGCTTAGCACAGAGCCTACATTTATGAGTCTTGCTTATAGTACGTTCAGGGGCAGCAGAATGAAGTAGGTAAAGGACTAGGTTGGGGCGTGGGTAAGGGGGC